TACCAAAGGCAAAATTCAAATAAATTATGCATTAAACTGGATTATTTTTGCACAAAAATTATAAGCACAGAAATTTGATAAATTAGTTTTACGCTATGCATTGTAACGGGATTGTAATCGCTGACACTATTTTTATTCTTTGTTGTTACTTTTTGGAATACAAAAAAAAACAGAATTATCACAAACATAATAAGTCAAATACTGATAAAATATATATTCAAATATTATTTAAATATCATTCAAAATAAGTTAAGAAACGAATAAAAATATTAAAAACATAAAAAAACCTTTAACTTCGGCTGCACCGAAGCTTTAATACCCTTCACAGTAGCATTTCTTATAATATAAAAGGGTATAAAAATATCGTTATCTTGATCCTTCGGTTTGTATGGCAGCCATATGCAATAGTGGCTTCTAGGGGAGAAAAAGAAGGGTGCAAAATTTCAGATCAATATATCAAAAATTGAGAGACTAGTTCGACTCAGCTCGTCATGCTAATCATTTATAATGAGTAATATGTATGTACGGTATATATTTTATAGGTATATTATTTTACAATAATAATCAACATTTGTTTTACATTCTAAAAAATTATTCTAAAACAGTATTTTCCCATTCACAGCATTTAAACACATCAGCTGTAAAGCTTAACGACTCTAATAAACCATTTGTTGTTAAATTCTACAATTTAGAGTACTTACCAAAATTTTGTCGCAGCGACGCCACATATTAATTTCGTTGTGTTTGTTAATCGATGTTTTTTTGGCTTAGTTTTTTTTTTATCAAGGATAACCCTAGCATAGGTGCATTGAATTGCATAGTTTTCTTGATGAAACACAGACTTCTGATTTTTCGGATAAACAGTGAATCCATGTTCCACACTCAGTAAGTGAAGATAACCAGAAACTTCACTATGTACCATAATAGGTAAATATCAAATGAAGCGTGAATTTTGTTTGTTTTTGTTGAGACCTTTAGTTTGTCCCGACTAGTTTATGTTGAGCGATTTTGGGATTTCGTTGCTCGATTAATACTGGTAATACATTCTGGATACATACATATATATAGCATGACAGCTGGTTTGACAGCTATCCCTTTATGGAATTTTGAAACTAAAAACCTAAAAACATTTTCTATAGACGTTTTTTTATTTGGCGAAGAATCGCGTAAAGTTATGACAATCGGTCCGCAAATTCTCATAATATAGAATTGTCATCTCCGATTTGTCATAAATCAGTTCGCGCAAGCGTTTAATTCTTAACTATAACTTCGGTACTTCATATGAAGTAGTTAGCTTCGGTTTTCAATAATATATTTCAGTACAGCATATTATTCATTTAAATATAATTTACGGCATATACATTTTTTATTAATTTTTGAAATAAAATTCACTCCAAAGCAGAGCGAACAAGGATCAGATCGGTATACACACGATATATAATAATACAAGTATGTATATATGTTTTTTTTACAATAAAAAAGTGCGTCTTATTATTCTAGAAACCCACCTTGTTAAGTTCAATTCACATCAAGTCGAATCGCTCGAGCTTATGAACTATAGTCTGGAAAATTCAGCAATGCGAGTCTAATAGCAAACATGAATGTGTGGCAAATCGAAGTGGTTAAAATCATTCCCACAATCTACGCTCGGATTCGCCCCTATGTGAATGTCTGTGCTTTAATGTCAAGCACCTTTCAAAGTAATTTCATTTAAAGTATTTATCGGAAGGCATACATTAATGCGTCGACATTATGTCCGATCCAGAAGAGTAAATATCTGTTATAATCCAAAGACCACGTAGCCACAATTTCATTCGATTGGCACTTATCAAATAATGATACAATATGAATATGATGTGTCAGCGAGGGGTAAAGGGGAAATGCTTAAGCTAATTTAGAATTATAGTGTGGAGAATGTGAAATAACTTTTAGCAGATGTTTTAA